CAGTATTTTTTTTTTTTTTTGGCTTCTTATAATTCCCACGTGACACCAGGTACTTTCTACTAATATCCATGCCTTTTAAAATGTAAACATAGTGGTGGCAAAAACACACACCTCTTCTTAGCCCTATGCATGCTTGCACTGCCTTGGAACATCCCAGAATGAATACATGTTTTTGCACCACCATGTTGAGAAAGAGGATATGCAGCATCATCCTTAAACATATCAAAGAAGAAGAAGAAGATAGGGAGGAAACTGGCTGGGGTTTCAATTTCTGTTTGCTTTCTTGGAAGATGCCATACTTTTCACATGGTATTAGGTTATTGGATCAGCAAGTACTTAAAGCTTCCTCGTTCTATATATATATTGCTCTGTGGCTCTACAACAATAACATTACTATGTGGCAATTTGGAGAACATATGTTTGTCACATTTTAATGTGGTAGGGAGGATCCTTCAGATGTTGTAGATATGGTAACACTTCGAGTATCACAAACAAGCTCAGCATTTCCTCTTGCATGAGAATAGGTGAAGGTTTTGGTTCTCTATCATATCACTTAATCAGCATCAGCATCATTTATTTGTATCTCACCCTCCCTGGCTGAAACCGGGCTCAGGGCGGCTAACATCAGATATATAACATTGGTATAAAATCAAACAACTGATGTGCTTAAAATATCCTAGTGAACTGCCAAGGTATTTCTTTCCATGATATAGAAAATCAGGTACAGTAATAATAAGTGTGTTTGTATACAGTGGCAGCTGGTGCTTATTAGGGTTCATAGGGCAGAAGATAGGGAGAACCAACATCAATAGGGGCCAGAGGAATAGGGGTCAGGAAGCAGTGGCATAGCGTGGGGGGTGCAGGGGGGGCCGGCCGCACTGGGCGCAACATCTGGGGTTAGGGCAAATCCACAGGTTAGGGGGCGCAAATCCACGGGTTAGGGGGCGCAAATCCACAGGTTAGGGGGCGCAAATTACTTGCCTTACCCCGGGTGCTGACAACCCACGCTACGCCACTGTCAGGAAGAGCAAACTAGTGGTTGTTTTGTCCTCCTCTTCCTGCCGAATTCTACAAGGGAAACATTGAGACTAATGAGACCTGAACCATAGAAATTTGTTATGGTTTCAGACCAGGCTTAGGTCTTGTTGAGTAAATGACATCTTGGTCTACAATTCTGTGAAATCTAAACACCTCGCCAGACAGTTTTGTTATTGTTTAGTCGTCTTAGTCGTGTTTGACTCTCCGTGACCCCATGAACCAGAGCATGCCTTGGAAACTCTCACTTTCTTCTCAAAGCTGCTCCTTTTTGTCCATGGTGTTTTCTTGGCAAAATACTGGAGTGGTTTGCCAGTTCCTTCTCCAAGTGTATCACATTTAGTCTAAACCAGGCTTCCTCAACCTCGGACCTCCAGATGTTTTGAGACTACAGTTCCCATCATCCCTGACCATTGGTCCTGCTAGCTAGGGATCATGGGAGTTGTAGGTCAAAATCATCTGGAGGGCCGAGGTTGAGGAAGCGTGGTCTAAACTCTTGGCTGTGACCTGTCTGTCTTGGGTGGCCCTGCATGGCATAGCTCATAGCTTTTTGGAGTCCTTCAAGCCCCTAGGACCCTCATACCTACAGGACCGCCTCTCCTGGTATGCCCCATGGAGGACCTTAAGGTCCACAGATAACAACACTTTGGAGGTCCTGAGCAGCAAGGTGGTTAGATTGGGCTCAACTAGGGCCAGTGCCTTTTCAGTACTGTCCCCAACTTGGTGGAACACTCTGTCACAAGAGACCAGGGCCCTGTGGGATTTGACATCTTTTTGCAGGGCCTGCAAGACGGAGCTGTTCTGCCTGGCCTTTGGTTTGGACACAGTCTGACCCTTATGTTTCCCTCCCCATATGGTTTTGATTTATGGGCTACTACTAAAATGAGGCTGCATTTTAAATTGTATTTTAACCCGTATTTTTATTAACTGTTCTCTTTCTTTTACGTTTTATTGCAATTTTATTGGTGTTAGCTGCCCTGAGCCTGGTTCTGGCTGGGGAGGGCGGGGTAAAAATAAAAAATTATTATATTATTATTATTCGCCACGACAAGGCAGTGATCCATGAAGGGGCCCCAGACGGTTAGCCAACACTAAAAACATTGCATGTGCCAATTCACTTTTCCTGGGCCAAGCTGGAAGCAGAAAGGCGGCCTTCTGCGAAATGGATCAGTTGACCCAAAGGCTCAGTGGCATGGCCAGGAATATAAAAGGAACCGTTCAAAGAATACCATGTTCAGCGGCTCTTCAATCAAGCAGAAAGCTGCTCTTTAAGGGCTGAAACTGAGAAGCTTCTACACCAAATGAAAAGGAGGCTTACTAGAGTTGACATTCAGAGAAGCAATGCTGGCCACTCTCTGCTTACGTGGAGGCAATGTTCTGGTGCCCTGTGCACACATGTGACAGTCACGTAAATTGGGCGCACCCTCTAAACACCCTTTAAATGCCCTCTCTGCCACTCTCTCTCCAATCCAGATCAAAAATATTGTACTAAAAATGCAACTTCGACTGGAATTGAAGCTCTGGGATTGGCAGGAGGCTGGAAAAGTAGTGGTGGCAGCGGCTACTGTGCACACCAGCTGTTAGGCTGGGAGGCTGAACAGCCTAACAAAGTCCCGCTATGTCTCCAGTCTCTTCTCTGCCCTCGCAGAAATCGCTCTTTGGGTTCTGGGGAAGGGTGCCCTCACAAGCCACAAGGACTCTCCAGCTCTCTCCATTTCCAAGTATGAATTAAATAATTTAATTATTTCCCGGCGTTGCGTGTCTACACAGTCACGTATGAGTCAATCATGCCCAAGTGTGGGGATGCCTGTATGTTATTACCCCTAGAATAGGTTTTGAAAACAACAGGTCTATGAGCCCTGTGCTGGTGACTCTGGAGGAGCAGTCTACTTTTCAAACGAGTTACACATGATGCAGGTAAGTTTTTGGAAGTATCTAGATAGGAAAGCAACTGCTCACCCCAGCCCCCAAAGTGTGAATTCTCCACACCAGAAGATACGGGACATAGCCTTCTGGAATGACTGCTTGAAGAAACCCTAGCCCAGTTGAATATGTGTGTGTGTGTGTGTGTGTGTGTGTGTGTGTGTATATATATATATATATATATATATATATATATATATACACACACACACACACACACACACACATATATATATATATATATATATATATATATATATATATATATATACACACACCAAGGAGGCTATATCCCCACCTAAACCGAAACTACAGTACTCACACTGTGTCCACATTGCAAAGTGTGGTTTCTCATATTTAATTAACCTTATTGATGTGTGTGTGTATTTGTGTGTGTTTATACTCTCATTGTGGGCTTTTTAGCAGGTATTTTACATTAACAAGGAGGAGAAGAAATGGAGGAGAGGATGGAAATGATAGTATCAATACTTACATCCCATACAGATAAACGTCTCAGTGCCCATTGCTGTAATTAAATAAAAACTGAAAGATCAAATTTGGAATTTAATCCTACCAGCTGTAATGTTTTAAATAAAAATATTAAATGTGCTTCTTGTTGTTTTAGTGTTTTTTTAATGTCCCGTTTACTATATTTCCCAGGAACGAATTGCCAGATGCCAAAGAACAATAAGTCCATATCACTATGTTTCATTTCAAGATAGTGCTGCGTTAAAGGAGCCTTGACTACCTTGTTACGGATTCTTGATCTATGCTCACCTATGCGTAATTTAAGGGGAACGTGTCATATTTCCTATGTATAATTTGTCACATGGGCAACAAATACAATAGAGGACATTTCTGGAGTTACAGTCATACCTCATGTTACGCCCACTTCATGTTACGTTCTTTCAGGTTACATCCCACAGCGACCCGGAAGTACCGGAAAGGGTTACTTCTGAGTTTCGCCGCTCGTGCATGCGCAGAAGCACAAAATGACATCATGCGCATGCGCAGCGAATCGCAACCTGTGCATGCACAGACACGCCACTGCAGGTTGCGCTCTTTTCATGTTGCGAACGGGCCTCCGGAATGGATCCCGTTCACAACCAGAGGTACCACCGTACAAGTGATTGTTGGATTAATTGTAAATGCAAAGCGCATGTGTGCGCTCTTCATTTCTTTCACTTGCGGGCTGTACGGGCACATGTTACAATGCCCACACCTATAGTAACCCCTAGTGGTGGTGGTTGGTAATTCGAGGCAGTCAGCTCTGACTAATTGATTGTGTAGGGATCCTTTCTACCTTAAACCCAAAAGGGGAGGATCTTTGCAGCCGGGGATATCCTCGATTATATGCCAGTGTTTATTTATAATCTTTCTTATGTAGCTGGCAAGGGGTGTATAGTCCAATGCCATGGTGAGGGGTGTTTGATATGTGTTGCTACAGTTAAGTCGTGGTTTAAGCAGATCATTCCGGTCTAAACCATTTGCGCGTCTAAGCGCTTCCTGCACAGTGTTACTAACTATTGGTTAGGGCTCTATTTAGTTGCCCTGCTGCTCTTCTATAATCATTTTCTTCAGTAGCATTCCTTTTTAACCTTACCAGCTGCCCATGAGGTAGATTTTTTCTTAAATGCAGTGGATGACTGGAAGAGAAATGAAGCAGAGTATACTGATCTGTGGGTTTCTTATAGGGCTTGAAATAGCACTGGCACTTCCCCATCTTAATTTTCCTGGGCAGGCTAACTGTGGAAGCAGAGCTAGGAATCTGATTATTTCCGATGTGGAATGTTTGGCTTATATGCCAAAACAGCACTACCCAAACATTCCAGGAAGGTATCGGCAGGCTTTTGGTAAACCCGATGTTTCTTTAAAAACCTTACAGCGGCATCACGAGAAGATCAAGCACATATGTTGATAGGAAATCTTGAGAAGTGAACCATTTGAAAAAAGGACCTCAACATAGTTACAAACACCGCATATATATTAGCTGTTAAGTATAGGTATGAAATTACCTGCATAAAGATTTCTCAGGCAGTGACTAGTTTAATACCTTTAATTGTTGCAGTTCACAACAGCAATTCAAATATGCTATTAAATATAGGCAACACTGAATTCCTGATAATTAAGCACTTATTTAAAAATGAGTGGACTCTCCTTCATTTGAGGTTTTTGTGCAGAGGCTGGATGGCCATCTGCCATGGATGCTTTAATTGACATTCCAGCATTGCAGGGGGCTGGACTAGATGACCCTTGGGGTCCCTTCCAACTCTAGAATTATATGATTCTAAGATCCACAGATTAGAATGACAAATGGTTATTACTGCATGCTGCTGCCAAATATAATCCAGTCACTTTCTTTGAATTAATTTCAGCTATACAAATCTGTTTGAAGCAAAGTCAATGCACTTAAACTGGTACAGTTAAAATACAATCATTGATCCCTGGATACTAATTTCCACATATCCCATTTCTAAACAGGCCTGTACATTTCCAAATAAAAAAATCTGATGCAGCGATCTCTTAAGGCATATATGTGTGTGACAATGTATGGTAACCACAGCAATAACATGAAAACTTGCAAAATGCCTATTAGAAAGCTATCTTCCTCAGCTGAATTCCTTAAAAGAAAACTCAAAAGGAGCTACTGCCAAACAAGAAGTTTGTGACTAGTGTTGTTTTTTACATTACCTTACATTAACTGATAGGGAAAAGTGAAGAACATACAATTGCATGCATGTTAGTTTTGTAAGGAAAGTCTTAAGTCCAAAAGAGCACTGAAATATTCTTCATTATCAGGATCCAATTTCAAGGCTCGTTCATAGCACTCAATTGCTTGTTGCTTTTCTCCATCAAGCTGGTGAATGAATCCACGGATGCCAAAACTCTTAGCATCTGCCGGATCTATCTTGGTTCTTCTTTCTATTAATTTCTTCAGGTTATATTTGCATTTATTTCTCTCAAATGATTCATTTTCAATCTTCAGCACGGCCAGATAATGTTCAACAGCCTCCAATTCTGATTTCTTATGGTATTCCAGAAAGCGCCCATAATTGAAGTGGAGCTGCTGTTTCTCTTCACAAGTAAGTTTCCTCATTGCAAACACTTCCTGAAACGTCTCTTCCGCTTTCTGGAGCTCTTTCCCTTCTGCATACATGTTTGCAAGATCCAAGTGAGCATAGACGAATTTGGTTTTGTGCTCCACCACTTCTTTGAAATGAAAAATGCACAGTCTGATCAGTTCTGCCATCTTTCTTCTGTCTTTATATGGGTCTTTTGATAATTTGATTTTAAAATACTGCGCTCTGTAGCAAAGCCCCATCTGGTGATGTAGGAACCCTGAGTTTGGTGTCAAGCTCAACGCCTCCTTCAAAAGCTCCAGGGATCTTTCCACATCACCTTTTTTCCTGTAAAATATGGCAGCGTACCTCAGCACATAAGGGATGCCAGGGAATTTGCCTAGCGCTTCTTCAATGAGCTCTTTCCCTTCTTCCACTTTATTAGTTTCCTGCAGCTTCAATGCAAGGATAGGCAGGAGAAAGGCATTATCGGGATTCAGTTTTGCTGCCTTCTTCAAGGGTTCCAGAGATGACCCTTCTGCTGCAGATTTTTTCCCATAATAATCTTCCAGGCGATATACTGTGATTGCATAGCCAGCATTATATTCTGGGTTTTCAGGTTCTTTTCCTAGTGCCTTTAAAAAGCTCTCCTTGGCTTTTTCATGATACTTTCCCCCAAATTTTAGGAGTGCCCATCCCTTTTCACCATCAATATGTGGGATTTTCATTCTATAGGGAGAGGCACTTCCATGTTCCTTGCAGGTTGTTTCCACCTTCTTTATGTAGCTTTGTACTTCTGCAAGTTTGTCCATGCGGTAATACACCCAGGCAAAGTTGCCCCATGTAATAAGGCTTGCCTTTTCGACTTCTTCTGGGTACTCTGTTTTTATACTCTCTTCAGCCTTCTGCAGATTTTCCAGAGCCTCTTCCTTCTTGCCATTCAAGTACTTCACATAGGCCAGTAGGTTATAATTTCTGACTTTGGACAGTAAAAACTTGATCTGTTCAATTATTCTTTCCTCTAATTCGTCAAGATCAATGTCTTCTTTCAGCAACCTCCAAGTAAAATGGCATTCAAGTTCCAAGAGGATCCGTTTTAAAGATTCCTTGGAAATTTCACTACAGACCATGAGGGAAGAGAAAAAAGACAGTCACATTTATATGCTGAAAAAACCACAGATCCAAGCATATACTCATTTGTCATTGAACATCTTTCAGAACTGACTACATTTCATTTCTTTGCCACATATGCATGCAGTACTTCAAATGAGAGAAGTTTCACAATGCGGCTGGTTCAAGTCTGACCTGAAAGCTATCATATGTAGCTGTTACACATGTAATAAATCACCTTCCCCACATACTGAGGGTCTTTTTAAAGTTTTTTTTTAAAACAACAGCATATTTTTATTAAAGATTTCTTGGTTCACAAAAGTATGTGCAATGTCTCTTTTTTCAAGTTACATTTTCTACAGATCAGTTTCATTTCTCGAGACGTTAGTGTTACATTAGGAAGAAAGGGGGAAAGAGGTGGAGGGGGGGGCATGGTGAGTGGGGATGGGGTCGGGTGGCAATGGTTCTATTCTACTTACCGTATTTTTCGCCCTATAAGACGCACTTTTTCCCCTCCAAAAATGAAGGGGAAATGTGGGTGCGTCTTATGGGGCGAATGCAGACTCCTTGGCTTCAGCGATAGCAACACGAAGCCTCCGAAGCCTGCGCTCCGGAGGCTTCGCGTTGCTTCCGCTGAAGCCAGGAGAGTCTGCTGTTTGAGGCTGGCGGTGGAGGAAAGCAGCGCTTCCCCCATCGCCAGCCCCAGAGGATGGGGGGCAGCGGGAAGGCGCGCGATGCCTTGCCGCTACTCTCCAACCCGGCTTGGAGGCTGGCGGTGGGGAAAGCAGCGCTTCCCCCATCGCCAGCCCCAGAGGATGGGGGGCAGCGGGAAGGCGCGCGACGCCTTGCCGCTGCTCTCCAACCCGGGTTTGAGGCTGGCGGTGGGGAAAGCAGCGCTTCCCCCATCGCCAGCCCCAGAGGATGGGGGGCAGCGGGAAGGCGCGCGACGCCTTGCCGCTGCTCTCCAACCCGGGTTTGAGGCTGGCGGTGGGGAAAGCAGCGCTTCCCCCATCGCCAGCCCCAGAGGATGGGGGGCAGCAGGAAGGCGCGCGACGCCTTGCCGCTGCTCTCCAACCCGGGTTTGAGGCTGGCGGTGGGGAAAGCAGCGCTTCCCCCATCGCCAGCCCCAGAGGATGGGGGGCAGCAGGAAGGCGCGCGACGCCTTGCCGCTGCTCTCCAACCCGGGTTTGAGGCTGGCGGTGGGGAAAGCAGCGCTTCCCCCATCGCCAGCCCCAGAGGATGGGGGGCAGCAGGAAGGCGCGCGACGCCTTGCCGCTGCTCTCCAACCCGGGTTTGAGGCTGGCGGTGGGGAAAGCAGCGCTTCCCCCATCGCCAGCCCCAGAGGATGGGGGGCAGCAGGAAGGCGCGCGACGCCTTGCCGCTGCTCTCCAACCCGGGTTTGAGGCTGGCGGTGGGGAAAGCAGCGCTTCCCCCATCGCCAGCCCCAGAGGATGGGGGGCAGCAGGAAGGCGCGCGACGCCTTGCCGCTGCTCTCCAACCCGGGTTTGAGGCTGGCGGTGGGGAAAGCAGCGCTTCCCCATCGCCAGCCCCAGAGGATGGGGGGCAGCGGGAAGGCGCGCGACGCCTTGCCGCTGCTCTCCAACCCGGGTTTGAGGCTGGCGGTGGGGAAAGCAGCGCTTCCCCCATCGCCAGCCCCAGAGGATGGGGGGCAGCGGGAAGGCGCGCGACGCCTTGCCGCTGCTCTCCAACCCGGGTTTGAGGCTGGCGGTGGGGAAAGCAGCGCTTCCCCCATCGCCAGCCCCAGAGGATGGGGGGCAGCGGGAAGGCGCGCGACGCCTTGCCGCTGCTCTCCAACCCGGGTTTGAGGCTGGCGGTGGGGAAAGCAGCGCTTCCCCCATCGCCAGCCCCAGAGGATGGGGGGCAGCGGGAAGGCGCGCGACGCCTTGCCGCTGCTCTCCAACCCGGGTTTGAGGCTGGCGGTGGGGAAAGCAGCGCTTCCCCCATTGCCAGCCCCAGAGGATGGGGGGCAGCGGGAAGGCGCGCGACGCCTTGCCGCTGCTCTCCAACCCGGGTTTGAGGCTGGCGGTGGGGAAAGCAGCGCTTCCCCCATTGCCAGCCCCAGAGGATGGGGGGCAGCGGGAAGGCGCGCGACGCCTTGCCGCTGCTCTCCAACCCGGGTTTGAGGCTGGCGGTGGGGAAAGCAGCGCTTCCCCCATCGCCAGCCCCAGAGGATGGGGGGCAGCAGGAAGGCGCGCGACGCCTTGCCGCTGCTCTCCAACCCGGGTTTGAGGCTGGCGGTGGGGAAAGCAGCGCTTCCCCATCGCCAGCCCCAGAGGATGGGGGGCAGCAGGAAGGCGCGCCGACCGCCTTGCCGCTGCTCTCCAACCCGGGTTTGAGGCTGGCGGTGGGGAAAGCAGCGCTTCCCGCATCGCCAGCCCCAGAGGATGGGGGGCAGCGGGAAGGCGCGCGACGCCTTGCCGCTACTCTCCAACCCTCCTTTGGGCTTTTGCGGGAGATGGGGAAATCCCCCACCTCCCGCAAAAGCAGGCAAAAGCCGCGCGCTCTTTAAAGGGGCTCCGCGGCTTCTGCTGGCTTTTCTACGAGGGGGGGAATTCCCCACCTCCTAGAAAAGCCTGCAGGAGCCGTGCACCCTTTAAAGAGCAAGCGGCTCTTGGGGGCTTTTCCCCAAGGAGGGAGAAGGGACTGACTGGCCGAATCAGTCCCTTCTCCCTCCTTTGAGCTTTTGCGCGAGATGGGGGAATTCCCCCACCTCCCGCAAAAGCCGTGCGCTCTTTAAAGGGGCTCCCCAGCTTTTCTAGGAGGTGGGGGAATTCCCCACCTCCTAGAAAAGCCTGCAGGAGCCGTGCACCCTTTAAAGAGCAAGCGGCTCTTGGGGGCTTTTCCCCAAGGAGGGAGAAGGGACTGACTAGCCGAATCAGTCCCTTCTCCCTCCTTTGGGCTTTTGCGGGAGATGGGGGAATTCCCCCACCTCCTGCAAAAGCAGGCAAAAGCCGTGCACTCTTTAAAGGGGCTCCCGGCTTTTCTAGGAGGTGGGGGAATTCCCCACCTCCTAGAAAAGCCTGCAGGAGCCGTGCACCCTTTAAAGAGCAAGCGGCTCTTGGGGGCTTTTCCCCAAGGAGGGAGAAGGGACTGACTGGCCGAATCAGTCCCTTCTCCCTCCTAGTCGAAAAGCCCGCAGGAGTCAAGTGGGGCTCCTGTGGGCTTTTGCGGGAGGTGGGGGAATTCCGCCACCTCCCTGCAAAAGCAGGGAGAAGGTCTTGGAGTAGCGCACAGGCTGCGTGCAGCCTGTCCGCTGCTCCCAGAGCTGGGGGGGGGGGGAAATCATATTTTTTTCCTTGATTTCCCCCCCTGAAAAACTAGGTGCGTCCTATGGGCCGGTGCGTCTTATAGGGCGAAAGATACGGTAGTGTATGTGTGGGGTTTTGTGTCAGCGTCGTTTGTGCAGGTTCTCTTTACTATTCACTTACAGTCATACCTTGGGTTACAGATGCTTCAGGTTGCATTTTTTTGGGTTACTGACCTGCCGAAACCCGGAAGTACTGGAACGGGTTATTTCCGGGTTTCGCAGGTCATGCATGCGCAGAAGCGCTAAATCGCGCTTTGCGTGTGCGCAGAAGTGCTGAATCACAACCCGCACGTGCGCAGACATGGCGCTGTGGGTTGCGAATGTGCCTCCCGCATGGATCACGTTCACAACCTGAGCGTCCACTGTATTTGGTGTTTCTTTGGTGGTGAGAGAGGTTGGGGTTGGCCTAGAGTGTGGTTGTTTGTTTGTGATTGGATGTGGTGAACATTTTCCCCAAGTGTGATAGGGTTGGGTGGGTGTTTTTGGATCAGGTTAGCCAGATTGATTCGAATGCTGTTGGTGGGTTCTTCTTGTTGTCCTGTTGGGTTGTGTATGTGATAAAGGGTAACCATATCGGGGTAAAGGCGTCGTCTTCTATTTGTCCCCTTGTCAGTTTCAGTTTGTTGGTTAGTTTTTCTAATAAGGCTGTTCCCCATACTATTCAATACCATTGTTCTATGCTTGCTCCTGACAGGTCTTTTTAAAGTTCGGTGTCAAGTGTGTCCAGAGAAAAAGGCTGTTTTAAGGATTAATAGCATGGAACACCTCAGATTAATCCTTTAGATCAGTTTTCCCAATTTGTGGTCTGTGTAATCCACCCAGGGGTCCATGGCATCATTCACATAACGAAAACTACCGTTATAGGGGGTCTATGGCTTAGCTTCTGAAAAAATAAGGGGTCTGCATTACGTAGCCAATTGGAAATCACTGCTTTAGATTATTTTCTCATTTTAGATTAAAAAGGGAAACTACAATACAGTTTTAATTTTTTTTTTTAAGCAGACTGTATTACTAACAAGAATTTGTAGGATTGAATTTAGCCATTCAACCTAATAGTTCTAAAGCAAACAAAGATAACAAAATGTTGGTGTGGTTTATTTGATAAGGGATTGGGAGGAGAATTTTAGCTAAAGGAGGAATGGCCAGTCTGGAGAAAGAGAGAGATACACATGAACAGCCTTCAGTGAATTATAGCTCAGTTGGTAGAACCTTGAGTGTCTTAATCTTAGGGTCGTGGGTTCAAGCCCCCATTGGGCAAGATTCCTGCATTGAAGGAGTTGGACTGCACGATCCATGCAGTCCCACTCCTGTGAATGAGGTTCTGGGAGGAAGGTCAGTCTAGAAGTCCCAGCTCCTCTGTGTGAAGCATCAGTTTATATGGGGTCAGGTTAGGGTTAAAATGTACATACCACATACTAGAAAAAAGCCCTCTAACCTGTTTAGAACAACATAAATAATATCAATTTAAAATTAAAAAACTACCTTAAAAATGTAAAATACTGTATGACTAAACTCAATAATTTAAAACAAACAAATGAAATGCTAAGATTACAAGCCTGGGTAGGCTTGCTGAAACAAAAGAAAAGGCTTTAGTAGGCACTGAAGACAATACAGCAAAGTTGAGGCTTAGTGATGAAATGAATAAATAAAACCACATATTTGTGCCTCAGAGTCAGGATGGACAAAGCTAAGTGACAGACTGGAAGTAAACTGGTTGAAGATCTTATCGCCTCTTGGTTTAACGAAAAGGAGGTAAAGATTGACACGCAACTGAAGGCAACACCTGCTGCTCACTTGTATGCCAGGAGCCTGAGGCATTTAGCCAGTGATATTCAGGTAGTTCGAAAGCACATCAAAGTGCAAAAAGATAAATAGGTACCACTCTGGCGGGAAGGTAAACGGCGTTTCCGTGTGCTGCTCTGGTTCGCCAGAAGCGGTTTAGTCATGCTGGCCACATGACCGGGAAGCTGTACACTGGCTCCCTCAGCCAATAAAGCGAGATGAGCGCCACAACCCCAGAGTTGGCCACAACTGGACCTAATGGTCAGGGGTCCCTTTACCTTTATTCAGGTAAGAGAACAGGAAGTCAGGGTATTAGTTTGGAGAAAATAGGCATACCAGAAGGGTTACCTTGAAAGCATTTCAGAGAACGTGCCTCACCTGGCTCTGGCAATGGCTTATGTCTTTTGTTTCATGCAAATATAGTAGCATCCCGATATAATTTGAAATTAAATGCACTCACGGGGTAGCCAACATGGTGCCTTCGAAATGCTTGGGGTACAGTTCTCATCAGCCCTAGTGCCAGAATGGCCATGGATGATAGGAACAGCTGCTCAAAAAATCTGGGTTGCACCAAGTTGACTAACCCTTTTGTCATCTGTCCTCCCCTCCAACACTTGGAAGAACAGAGCAATTCCTTTCTTCTCACGCTAAGCAGATAGGAAGAAAACGTGCAAGAAACTGACACATAATCTAACTTGCTTCTGGTTTTATTTACCCAATCATATAGGTCAATTTCTGCCAAATTCAAGTTGAGGGCAAATTGTTTGCTTTTCTTTTAAACTGAGCTACCAGAAACTAGTTTGTACTGGAAATAAGCCGTCAATACCATAACCCTTTTAATCCACCTTTAGCTTTCAAATTAACAGTTACATTGGAAGCACAATTCTATGTTCTACTCAATAGAGCTAACTTTCTTTTTAAAAGTGTGTTTAGTTTTGTTGTTTAGGCAGCAATCCTATGTAGTCTTGGGAGTAAACGCCACTGAACTCAGTGGATCTAAAACCATTTTAAGATGACAGAGCTAGTAGCCTAGAAAATCGAGAAACCCAGTCATTTGTTACTCACCCCATGCTTTCCAGATCTGTTATCAATTATAAAATATACTCAGTCTTTCTCTCTCTCTCTTTGGCCCTGGAAGGGACTGGAAGTAGCCTTTCGTTAAAGATGGGCGAATCTTACTGTTGTTACTGATGTTTCCTTTTTATAGCCCTCTGAAGCACTGACAAATGTTTGCTCTCTGCTTGAAAAAATGAAAGTGGAAAGTGAAACTTAGCTGCTCAAGAGCTAGGAAACAGAAACTTAGAAAAACAAACGAGAGGGTATGATAGAATGGGATCGGTTTCCTTTTCCTCTGATCCCATAACACTGTTTACACTAGACTACATCAGTGACAATTTTTTTGTCTGAATACTGTGCCCATGAGTGGTGGGGTGGGGTTCTGTGTGTTTGAAAGTAGAAGCTGTACTGATGGCTGCATGACGTATTTACTGTATTAATAAATCTGCCAAATCACAAAAGAAAAGAAAAGAAAAGAAAAGAAAAGAAAAGAAAAGAAAAGAAAAGAAAAGAAAAGAAAAGAAAAGAAAAGAAAAGAAAAGAAAAGAAAAGAAAAGAAAAGAAAAGAAAAGAAAAGAAAAGAAAAGAAAAGAAAAGAAAAGAAAAGAAAAGAAAAGAAAAGAAAAGAAAAGAAAAGAAAGAAAAGAAAAGAAAAGAAAAGAAAAGAAAAGAAAAGAAAAGAAAAGAAAAGAAAAGCAGCATTAGAATTGACTTGATGGATCAGATTGAAAACCTGCCTTATTTTTCCTGACAAGCTTAACTTGCTGAAATTCCCTCTTCTGAAGAGTTTTTTAAAGATGCTAGAGCCCTGTCCACTCTTTCACTAGGCCCTGGAGTTGCTGTACAAGAGAGGAAGGGTGCAATTTATATCACACAACTAGGGAGCAACAGCTGAATCCTATTTGTGCTGAAAAATAAGTGAGTCCCACAATAGGTGTATATATATTGCAGATTTGCTGCCTAAGATACACTGAGTACAGAGGGACATGTTTCTGTGTAAGGACTATACTGCAGAACTGATTTTCCAACCCTGTTTATTACATCCTCATTTACTTCTTTAAAAAGAAAAGAAAAATTTAAAATGTTTTTGAAGCAGGTTCCTCCCCCCCATATTGTCCACCAACTCCTCATCTTCTTTCTCACCCTTCCAAGGCAGCAAACCAATCAACAATAAGAACACATCTTTAAAAGCACCCACCCAAAAGCTCTTTAGAACATTTTGAAAAAGGTTGAAACTTTTTCCCAACCAGAAATTTCAGGGTTGTCAGGAACGGCAACTTCCAGCCATCAAATGTGTGTGTTGGAGAGAGACATCTCACCAGAGATTGCATTTCACAGATGGGAGACCGCCACTGAAGATTCCCTGTAACAGGCCAATGGCAAACATGCAGCATCCATTGGTAGCACCACCCAGGCCTCACATGCCAATTGTAGGGTTGATATTGGGGGAGATGCTCTTTAGGTACTTGTGTCCTTAAGCATTCAGGCTTTATACGTTAGTACTAGTACCTTGAGGGACGCGGGTGGCGCTGTGGGTAAAACCTCAGTGCCTAGGACTTGCCGATCGCATGGTCGGCGGTTTGAATCCCCGCGGCGGGGTGAGCTCCCGTCGTTCGGTCCCAGCTCCTGCCCACCTAGCAGTTCGAAAGCACCCCCAAGTGCAAGTAGATAAATAGGTACCACTTTATAGCGGGAAGGTAACAGCGTTTCGTTGCGCTGCGCTAGTGCTGGCTCACCAGAGCAGCTACGTCACGCTGGCCACGTGACCCGGAAGTGTCTTCGGATAGCGCTGGCTCCCGGCCTCTTAAGCAAGATGAGCACGCAACCCCAGAGTCGGACACGACTGGCCCGTACGGGCAGGGGTACCTTTACCTTTACCTTACTAGTACCTTGGGGGATGTGGGTGGCGCTGTGGGTTAAACCACAGAGCCTAGGACTTGCTGATCAGAAGGTTGGTGGTTCGAATCCCCACGACGGGGTGAGCTCTCGTAGTTCGGTCCCATAGGCGCCGACTCCATGGGGCCTGAGGGGGCCCGAGCCCCCTCAAAAATTCGTTTGGGGGGGCTCCGCCCCCCAATAATTTAAGAAAATTATTAGGCACCTTGCCAAAAACTGCGCAGGGGACTCCGGCGCGCGCCTCCCAAAGTGACCGGGAGCTCCTGAGAAGGGGCGGGCAGGTCGGTCAGTCAGAGGAAGACCCCCAGCGGTGGGACTTTAGAAAGGAATGGAGCCGCAGGGCCGAGGAACGGCGTATTCGTCGCCGGCGAGGGACCGGGGTGAGGGGAGAATGGAGGGGTCGGGAGTTCCCGCCACCGGAGAAGGGCTTTTTTTCTGGGTTCGGCTAAGGTGACGTTGGTAGGAGGGGGTGGCCGCCTCCTGGCGGGAAGCCTGTGGAGGGCAGGCCGGTTCTTGCATGCAAAAGCACCACTGCCATCCTGCCGCCAGTATGGACCCCGGTATGGGCCCCCCAATATTTTTATAAGTCGGCGCCCCTGTTCGGTCCCTGCTCCTGCCAACCTAGTAGTTCGAAAGCATGTCAAAGTGCAAGTAGATAAATAGGTACCGCTCTGGCGGGAAGGTAAACGGCGTTTCCGTGCGCTGCTCTGGTTCGCCAGAAGCGGCTTAGTCATGCTGGCCACATGACCCGGAAGTTGTACTCTGGCTCCCTCTGCCAATAAAGTGAGATGAGCGCCACAACCCCAGAGTCGGTCACGACTGGAGCTAATGGTCAGGGGTCCCTTTACCTTTACTAGTACCTTGAATTGGGGCTGGAAGCTCACTGCCAACTAATGACACATGGGGTGGATCGATACACAGGAAAAGAAACATTTTAAATAAGTCAGAAATTAGATTGTTATAACAAAATAATAATAAAAAACCCTATGGAAAAATGGGTATTAAAATTTCCTGCTCTCTGGCACCATCTGGTGTTGCATGCTTATAGCGCATTCAAATTGTTTCTTTACTAATGTAGGTGAGTCCATGGTCCCATCAGGCTGACTCACTTACCAGCCTGGCAGCAACTTTCTGCACTAGCTGCAGATACTGTAAGTTCTTCAAGTGCAGCCCCACATACAGCACATAATGGTAGTCCAGACTAGGGACAGGGTTCACTAGAGCAAGGAACATCTATAGCTGTTGAGTCAGCCTAATCTGTGCATTAACACTTGAAAAATGTGTACAGTTGTACCTTGGATCTCAAACAACTTGCGAGTCGAATGTTTTGGGTCCCGAATGCCGCAAACCCGGAAGTGATTGTTTCAGTTTGCAAATGTTCTTTGGAGTCCGAACGTCCATCACAACTTCCACAGCTTCCGATTGGCTGCAGAAGCTTCCTGCAGCCAATCAGAAGCTGCATGTTGGTTTCCAAACTGTTTTGGAAGTTGAATGGACTTACAGAATGGATTCTGTTCGACTTCCAAGGCATGACTGTACTTTATTACTTTATGGTGCAGCTTCAAGAGCTATTTTTAATCCCAAACCCTGCCACCAATGTCCTGGATGGTTCGTCTACTTTATAGGTCCCCCCCCCCAATGCAGTTCAGACCTGACCCAGGAACCCAGGTCAGCACTTGTCTGTGTTGAAGGCAGAGGTCCCCCCAGAGCTCAGGGTAAACCACTCCTCTGCGGTAGGAAGCTGCCACCCCTCTTGTTAAAGTCCAGCTTGATCCCAGGAGATCCCTGAGTTGTATGCTGGACATCCCAAAGATTCCAAGAAGCAAAAGCTAAAGGGATCACCCCCTGCTTCCTGAAGCTTCAGGCAAAATTACGGTATCCTGGGTCTGAGGTACTGTTTTAGGCTTAAGGCTTTACCCAAATAACCATACAAAAGCGAAGTATACCTATTTTATGGATAAGACTAAAATAGCATAGCATGAACCTGTAACCCAATAGGAATAAAAGGATTAAGAATAACATCGGCTAATACTGATGAAGCAGAACATTTAGGAACACACACAAATATAACAAAGTCTAGCTAAGGGCTTGCCCACACTTTCTCTTGCTCTGACACTTTCCCTCAGAAAAATCTACTGTTTACTGCTGAATTGGAGCAAACGTCAATTGGGTTTTCTGTGAACGGACAGCGCTAAAGAGTGGGTTTTCCCAGGGAAACAACAGGACTAACGGAAAACTGCTCTGACTTGTGCCTAGGAAACACAGTACAAGCGGAAAATCTCTTGGACCCATGCTTTTAGGCTGTTGCTCAAGGTGTCAGCTGGGAAACAAAATTCAGGGTAGGGGCAGAACAGGGGCAAAAGAATAGTGTGAAGTAAATGTGTCAATGCCCCCTTGCTTAGCACCATGCCCCTCTCTCCTCAGCCAGTCAAAAGACTTCTACTGTATGTAACTTTCCAGAAGCCCAAGTCTGGTGATGACCCCCATGACAACACAGCTGAAAAACATTATTCCAAATAAGAAACTAGCCACATAGACCCTTGAGACACTGGCAGTAAATATCGGGGCTTCATAACAATTAGTTGAGGGAGAGAGAACTCACCCAGACGTCAAAACTCCTTTACCGAACCAAAGTTTTAAATTTAGAAACAAAATTTAGACAAGGGCCTGGCACAAGATCCAAGTGCACTGACAAGGAGTACTCCCAGACTATGTATCTGTTCTTTCAGGAGAAGCGCAACCCCTCCCAGAACAGGTATTACACCCAATTCCCAGACACGGCAACCACCACCCACAGCACTCGTGTCTTTTCAGGCTCTGGCTGAGTTTCTTGGCCCCACCCAGACCCTCACTGCTTCCAGACACCTTCACAGCCTCTCTTGATTCCAACAAAATATGGAGCTATTGCCATGGTTTGTTGGCATTTGGAAGATAATATGCTCCAGATCCCCTGATGATGGTTCCCAATGCTTTCATACAAATTTTAAATGCACTGGAAGCAGAATGGACCCCACAAACCCAAAAGCCGTGGGGGCTGTGTAACTGTCTCCTAGCACTAAAGAACCGTGTCACACATTGTTGTTTCAAAAGCCCAAAACAGAAGCCCAAAACATCATTTGCAGTAAGCTTCATGAATTATAAACAATACTAAGATGGAACAAAATTAAAATTAGTATTAGTATTAAATTAGTAATATTATTAGTAATATTTGTGTGGGAGTATTTACTTTCAGCGACATTATCAACTGTGTCCTTGGCCACACCCAGAGTATACAGA